GGAAGTTCCATCTCCACCTGAGGAGGGCCTTCTCTGCTGTGAGGGCGGCAGAGCAGTGGCACAGGCTGCCCAGAGAGGTGGGGGAGTCTCCCCCTCTGGAGCCATCCCAAACCCGCCTGGACGCCGTCCTGTGCCACTGCTGGAGGTGCCCCTGCTCTGGCGGGGGGTGGCACTGGGGGAGCTCCAGAGGACCCTTCCAGCCCTCACCAGTCTGGGATTCTGGGATTCTGTCTTAAAACACATTACTGGGCTCAAGAGGGAAGGGACTGAAAAACAGCTCTGTGCAGGAATTCAGTGTTTGCTCAATTCAGTGTTTGCTCACGGCTTTTCTGTCCTGTACCTTCTTGGTGTCAATTCCTTTAGTCCAGAAAACACGGCTTGGCTGTTTTCAAATCCAATTGTTTTTCCATACTTAAATCATAAAACATCATCATTCTCTTACCATTCCTATACGGCCATCACTTAAAACAAATACGTTCTTAAAACAAGTTGCTGTGCAGTATTTGCCCCCCCTGAGGTGCCCTTCTGCCAGAGACAAGTGATGCCGTAGAAGTGGCACTCTGTGCTTCCTAGATCGTCTCCTTTTAGCTGTGTTGAAACTTAATGGTTTACTCTGGTGGCTCATTTTTAAGGGCTTGCTTCTGATCTCTTGTTACATAAACTAGGCTCATCCCAGGAGTGTGGACAGAATTTTCTGTCATGTGTTGACAGAGATACTAATAATAGAATAGCAGAAGTTTTATCTCAAAAACAGCAACCGGTGCCATCTCACCACCTCGCCTGAGTCAGGATGATTGGTGGTGATGGAAAAAGCCAACAAGAACTGCAGGGCTTTCAGAACGCCGGTTTGTGGGGCCGGCAAACAATAAAAATAAATCAAAAAAAAATAAACCATTTCATTCATTACTAATCAAATCAGCCTCATTGTGAGAGGTGATATTTGTAGGTTCCGCCATTTCAGCATCTCTTGGTTTTGCAACAGTGCCGCCGTTGTATTCTGTGGGGTTTTAGGGTTTCAGATCAGCCTTAGTGTGGATGAAAAAAAGTGCATTTTAAGTGCTTTAGTGTAGAATAGGCTCTCTTACCCGGAGAGGTGCATAGCTACGGTCCAGGCAGGTTACCGCTGGTCATAGCTGAAGGATAACATTCATCATCAGAGAACCTTCATCGGGGCAATCTGTGCCCCCCGATCGCAGGCAGGAACTCTCTCTATTTCCAAAGAAAGACTTCAGCGTTTGGTGGAATATCATGAATTTACCACGTACCACTGCTCCAACAAGCATTCCTGACCTTTTGGTTGAGAAAACTACTGTTATCCACTTACTATTCTCTATTTCTTCTTTGAATGATAGTTATCTGAAAAACTCCAAGATACGGAGAATGAAGCCATGGCGAAGATTGTGGAACTGGAAAAACAACTTATGCAAAGAAACAAAGAACTGGATGTGATTCGGGTGAGTGCGATGGCAAAGCTGTGTCCGGGTGCCACGCTTCAGGGGAGCCATCTCCCGTGCGCTTGGTGTACGGGAGGTAATGACTATCTTAGTGCACCAAGTGACTTCTGGTAGCTTCCTGATTTGGAACCGAGGATGGATTTCAAGTAGAATTACTAGTGTGTGCATTCAAAGATGGACTTAAAACTCTTTGAACGTGCCAGCAAATCAGTGGCTGAGACAGGGCCATCTTATCACTCAGGTCTGGAGCGTCTCAGGGCAGTGGTGGAGTGCCCATCCCTGGGGGCATTTAAGGATTGTGTGGATACAGTGCTCAGGGACATGGTTTACTGGTGGGATTGTCAGTGTTAGGTTAATGATTGGACTAGATAATCTTAGAGGTCTTCTCCAATCTAGGAGATTCTGTGATTCTGTCTGTGTTTGGAGTTTTGCACGTGTGGTTGGCTGCGGGGGGCGTTGGAGGTGGACCTGGGGTCCCTGGGACTTGGGCTGCACAGCAGCAGGAGGGGAGCCAGTGCCCTGGGTCTGTGCTGTCAAGCACAGCCGCCTTTCTGTGCTCAGTCCAGACTCGTTAGTTCTTGGTGTACAAACTTAATAAGAACAATTATTAGTATATTAACTAACTTCAGCCTAAATGTCATCCCAAAGCGTGGTGCTTCTAGGGTTCCTTCGGAGGGTCTGTCCCGGGTACTTGCGGATATAATCTCCCCTCCAGATCAGGAGCTCTGTTCCTGCTTCCCTTCATGGTCCAACATCTGCTCATAGGTAGAGCAACCAGCAGGGCACCAGATACTCTCTGTTAAAGTCAAAGTCGAGGTAGCGTACCTACGCTGTGTGTTTAAGACTAGCCTAAGAAATGGGAGACATCATGAAAAAGTGATGGTGAGAAATTCTGCGCCGCCAGATGTTGGTGCCCACAGGTGAGATTTCCGGGCACAGCCTTGCTGCTGGCTTGGGAAAAATGCAAAAGGAATTCTTCCTCACCAGCAAAGACATGTGGTTTGCATCAGAGCTCCTTGTGCCTGGTGCAGTGTCCGTCCCGTGTCAGGCTGTTCTGTTTCTGCTACTGCTGTTCTGTTTTGTGAGTACAACTGCAGATTCCTTTTTTCTGCGGCACTCGCAGGAAATCTACAAGGATGCAAACACCCAGGTTCACACCTTGAGGAAAATGGTGAAAGAAAAAGAAGAAGCCATCCAGCGACAGTCGACGCTGGAGAAAAAGATCCATGAACTGGAGAAGCAGGGAACCATTAAGATCCAGAAGAAAGGTGATGGTGACATCTCTATCCTTCCTGTTGCTCTGGCCTCTGGGATGGTGCCGGCAGGGTCAGAGGCCGTGGCTGGCACGTGTGTTGCACCGGTCGCTGGAGCTGCATCTTCAGTACCATTGCCACCACCTCCGCCACCATTACCCGCCTTAGCAGCGGCATCTGAGGCAGGTAAGAAGCGTTTTGTCCCTGAGACATGGGCTGGGTGGGAGCTGGAGGTGGAGTTTGCTGTGCCGGGGACAGTCCCAGCAGCCGTACAGTGACAAATCCCCCTTCAGTTTTAATGAGCCTGCAGGTCATGGATGCCGGGGTCCCCGGCTGTGTTTGCACGCTCGCTCTCGGGGCAGCTCCCATGTTTGTCTGCTCTGTCTCTGAGCCCTTCAGTCGATACAAAAAATACTAGTTTCTTTCATTCTCCTGTGTTAATGCTCTGAAGTCCTTTGGTGAAGGGGGCAGCAAATGCTAGGGCCAGTATAGTGGTGGAGAGGAGGTGTATAGTGGGGGATAAGGTGAATGTTGTGGCTTTTTCTGCGCATGCTTGTGATATTTTGATCGCTGTTCGTGGTAACACCTCGTCTTTCCTTCATTTCATAGTGCAAAACGGTCCTGTGTCAGTGCCAATGCCGCCTCCGCCGCCGCCTCCACCGCCACCTCCACCACCACAACCACCGCCTCACCCCCGCCGTCGGCACCCCCCCTGCCCGGGACAGCCTCTCCCACCGTGGTGTTCAACTCAGGGCTTGCAGGTAAAACACCCACGCATCTCCTCGCCACGCTGCGTGTTGCTGGCGAAGTCAGCAGAGGCAAGGTCAGGACACGTTGGCTGGAGCAGAACAGGGTTCTGAGGTGGCACTTCGTTACTTAGTCACCTAAATAACACCCGTTATCTCTTATTGGTATTATAGAATCATAGAGTGGTGTAGATTGGAAGGGCCCTTAAAGATCATCTTGTTCCACCCCCTGCCCTGGGCAGGGACACCTCCCACCAGCCCAGGTTGCTCCAAGCCCCGTCCAACCTGGCCTTGGACACCTCCAGGGATGGGGCAGCCACAGCTTTCCGAGGAGGTGCCATCCCTGGGAGTGTTCGAGGCCATACTTAGAGGGGTTCATAAAAGGAAAGAGGATTTATCAACCAAAGGCGTTTGGTTTGGTCTGGAAGAGACTGCTTCTTCAGAGAAGCTAAAGCTATTGCCAAAAATATTTTTCAAACATGATCATTTTTGGCTTTAAGCAAACAAAATACGGTTTTGCAAGAAACACAAAGCTTCACGGTTTTGATTTCTTCTGAGAACTTGATGAAGAAGTATCTGCAAAAAAAAAAGGACAAACTTTTTGTAATTTTTTGGAAGGAAGAAAAATTTACTGACTGTCTTTAATCATGTTTTTATGCACTCTCTGACACATGCCAAGCAAGTAAATGCTAATTGGTATCGTGCTGCTCCCCCCAGGAAATCTCAAGAGCACGATATGAATCCAGAAAGAGAGACCGAGGAGCTCTGATTAACAGCTTTTTTTTTTTTTTAAACCTGATTAAGTATTCCAGCCTTTAAAGTTTCCTCTGAAAGCAAAAAGCATCATGGAACTGGAGGGTCCCAGGGTGTATTACAAAAAAATAAAAAAAAGAAATCATGAAAGGCGCGACACAGCCGAGGTTCCGGGCTGGGCCCTCCCAGCGGGTTTGGCAGAGCAGGCAGCGGTCCCGCGGCGCGCGGTGCAGAGTGGATGTGGCCGTGGTGGTGCCCAGACGCCGGGCCTTAGCCCCGTGTCCTTGCGGTGTTGATTGGGGACGGGAGGAGCGGAGCAAGCCCCGCTTCCACGTGTGGCTCCTCGGAGCTGCACCGACGGCAGGGGCGAGCCCCCACGGCCGAGCTCCTCGCTTCGGTGCTTGGCGGAGATGCCCATGGGCGGGTGGGATGGGGATTTTGTTCTTTGGTGGGTTAGGAGAGGGAAGGAGAGTGAAAGCGCCTTTTCTTGATACGACGGCTGTGCAGAAAGGAGCGTTTCTCAGGGCAGGAACCTTCTGGGTCAGCGGGGAGTCAGTGAAATAACAAATTTTGCATTTCTGACTGTTACTAACATTTTTTTCTCTGTTCTTTCTGCTTCCTGGGGTAAGACGGGCCAATCAAGCTCTTCTGTAGGTTGCTTTCTGCTAAGTATTTACCCCCCTCCCCTCATTTCCCTCTGTGCTGTGCCCGTGTGTGTGCCCGTGGACTGGCGGGGGCGCTGGGGCGGCGGTGGGGAGGGGGGAGGCTGGAGCCGGAGCCCGAGCACGCAGCAGCTTTGGGGATGCTGCCAACCGTCAGGATTTGGCACCCGGGAGGCCCTGATTCAGCAAAGCACTTCAGCAAGTAATTAAGACGTGTGGTTTCTTTCGAGCCATCCTCGAGCCGCGCGCTCGGCACCGCTCACACCGAGGGGCGGCTGTTCCCAAGGAGGCCAAGTGCTGAGCTGCGGCCGCTCTCGCGGGCTGCGAGCACCCTCCGCCGGGGCCGGTCCCCAGCCGTGAGCGCGTCCCCGCTGCGCTGCCGGCCGCCGCATGACTCCGGGGACGTCACCTCGCCGGGGCTCCGTAACGGAGGAGGAAAGGCAATTTTAAGAGATTATGATCAGGAACTGGCCGACGAAGCAGTTGGCTGCCTGTTCTGTCCTGAAAGAACCCACGAGCAGTTAATAATCTATTCTAATATATGCGCAACTGGAAAATGTTTTTTTCATGGGTATTTCAGATGGAAAAAGCGATTTCTTTTTCTTTATTTTTGGCATTATTTTGAAGTAACCACATTAATTAAGCAGAGAGTAAAACTGTTTGGTTTAGATGAGCAGAAGTTGATCACATGTGTTCGTGTCTTTTAGTTGGATAAATATAATTCTCAAAATGCACAGCTGAATACTGTGTATGTTCCCCGTTATTCACTTACAGTTCTTTGTTTCAAGCAAATACTCTTGCCAGTCATTTATTCCTTGTGACGTCCTTGCAAAATGAGCACGAGCACAAAAGGGACGTGACACACAACTCGATTCTGGTTTTAAAAGTGGAACGACAATCCGAGAGAAATGTTTTCAACATTTACTCAGCTCCGGTGCGCAACAGGACCGTCCCCTGACATAGGTCGTCTCTATCCCGGCAAAAACATACATAGAGAATCATTCGGGGAAAGTAAAATAATGATTTGCTCAAGTGCTTTGCGACCTGGGAACCCAGCCACCTTCTGAAACCGAGGGGGGAAAGTCTGGCATCTCTACAGAGCAAGATTGCTCCTGCTACGACTGCAGGGTAGGCAGGAGTCGGGGGCAAACACCCGACTGAACTAAACCAAAGGAGATCCGTCCTCGGCCGGGGGAGCGGTGGCCCTGCCCGGGGGCCGAGCAGGGCTGTCCCCTCTGTGCCCCTCTGCCACTGACCCCCGCTGCGGGCTGAGGGGCTCTTTGTTCCAGCACTGGAGAGGAAGGCCCAGGGTTTCTGTTTCACGTTTGCAGCTTGGAAAGAAATGGTTTATTTTCTAAGTAATTTGAGAGCAGGACGTTGGTTGATCACTTTAATGAACATCCTGATTTTGTAGTAACTAACAACTTCATGTTTACATCAAGATACAAAGAAATGAGAACTGAATTACAGAAATTATCCATGTACCTCCCAGACCTGTTAGGAATAGGAATAGAAAAGTGGTGTTTCCCTTGCTCCAACGCTGCTTTTCTGTACTCTGTTCACAGATTAATGAGAGTAGTCACTCTTCATTTTCATAGCTTCACTGTTAAGTTACTAAACCGTTGACTGGTTCTGCACAGCGCAAGGAGGTTAAACCTGTTATTTCAACCACGTTAAAGCTCACGTGTGCTGCAGCCCACCTGCTTTTGCTTTAAAAGACGAACCTGGTGAGAGGCAGCACTGCCCCATTGCAGCGGCAGCAGGAGGGGCTGCTCCCTCTACCAAAACCTTGGGAAAGGGTTTTTTTTTCTTCTGCTCACCTATTCTGTGTTGAGTGTTGTGACACAGACCAGCTGTGCCTGGCTCTGCACCAGCTCCCACCGGGGTGGGCTCTGCAACCAGCAGGACAGGGTTAAATTCGACCACTCTCTCCGTTTTCTGTAGCATTTAAAAATAGCCTGGGCTTTTAAATCAATCCAGGCAACACGCGGTCATAAAGTAACACCGCATTTCCTTTAGTGACGTTTTCGCAGCCTCTGGCGTTCAGTCCCGTTCTGCAGAGGCTGGGCCTGGAGCAGCTGAGGGGTTGGATGAAAACCTCTCGGCGCTCTTCGCCTGGCAGGGCAGCAAGATCTTTCCAGGCTTTCCAGGGTGATAATTTAGCTCTGGCCGGTTCTTCCTCCAGTGCTGAAATGCCGACTCAAAAGCTGCAGTCTGGGCACGTGGGGTGTTTTTCAGCGGTTGGGGAATTTGTCATTTCCTCTCCTCTGCTGTCTTTAGCTGTGAAAATCAAGAAGCCGATTAAGACCAAGTTCCGCATGCCGGTGTTCAACTGGGTCGCCCTCAAACCCAACCAGATCAACGGGACGGTCTTCAACGAAATAGATGACGAAAGGATCCTGGAGGTATGAGCGCTGCTTGCTGCATTCTGCCTCCCACTTCTGTCCGTAACACAACTGAATATGTGTCTTTGCAGGGATAGATTGCAGCAATTGCTTTGGCAAACAGCTCGTCCAGTGGCCCCCAGTACCCAGTAGGTCAGCGTGAGCTCCTTGGTTGAGAATTAGGGATGGGAGCTGGCAGTATTGATTATAAAGGGTGCATACCTGTTGTGTGCATTTGTTTCATAGAATCATAGAATGGTTTGGGTTGGAAGGGACCTTAAAGACCATCTCATTCCACCCCCCTGCCCTGGGCAGGGCCACCTCCCACCAGCCCAGGTTGCTCCAAGCCCCGTCCAACCTGGCCTTGAACACCTCCAGGGATGGGGCAGCCACAGCTTCTCGGGGCAACCTGCCCCAGGGGATCACCACCCGCACAGCCAACAATTTCTTCCTCA